TTTGGGTGTGCATATATTTCGCCAATCTGTGCTGGGTCAGTACTGAGGAAACCGGGTTTTCTTCCCTTATGTTTCATGGATTATTATTCTTCTCTAAAGTCCTGGAAATCTTTCAGCAGTGAGAATCACTGTCCTAAACAGGAAACATGGGCTAATCGGTGTTATTCAAATGCAGAGGGTGACCTTTTATTGCTCCAGGTTGCAGGCAAACGCCGCCTTTGAAGTCCTCGGGTGGATCCCACATCCCTCGGGATCCGCTCTCCCCATGTGGGGCCAGCTGTCCACGCAATGGACCCTTTCAGGCCACTTGGCTTTAGGCCACAGCAGACCCTTTCCTTCATCTCACGCCCTATAAGATTCGCAGCATCGTTGGCCGGATTTTGTGACGGTCAATGTCAAGAATCACACCTGTTTTGTCTCTCCCCACTGCCACCTCAAAGAAGTAATAATTGAGGAGGGTGAAGGGGTTTAAGCAAGAAGAGGGGGAAGATAGCAAAAAAACCACAGAGGAACTCTGAGATTTCCTGTGCAAACGCCCCCGATCTGAAAGCAAATTGAGCGACGGTGCAAGATGCAAATTCATACCACAAGTAGCAGAAACAGAAGGGGGGGCCACAACAGCTTAGGACATGCGTAGGCAAACTAAGGCACAGGGGCCGGATCCGGCCCAATCGCCTTCTCAATCCGCTCTGCAGACGGTCCAGGAATCAGCATGTTTTTACATGAGTAGAATGTGTCCTTTTATTTAAAATGCACCTCTGGGTTATTTGTGGGGCATAGGAATTCATTCATTAGTATTTTCAAAATATAGTCCGGCCCCCCACAAGGTCTGAGGGACAGTGGACCGGCCCCCTGCTGAAAAAGTTTGCTGACCCCGGCTTAGGATGAGTCCACACTAGGTATGACCACTGCTGGTTTTAGGTGGCTAAAATCCACTGGTTTCCTTCTATTCCTCATTTCCATATTCTTGCTTTAAAAAAAAAAAAAAGTTTAGACCCTCACCTCTGCCAGAACACACATACACTAACCTGCAGGTATTGCTGCTGCCGTGCTAAACATTAATTTGTTCGTGGCAGTGAGGGAAATACGACAAATTAGGACAGTGGCCCAAATATGTCTCTGTTTCTTAAAAGCTACGGACTGTATTCAACGTTAAGTCATAACTCAGGAGAGCAGATCCATTGAAATCAAGGGAGATGGTTGTCTTAGGATTTGGGTCGGGCAGAGCCCTGAAACATGGGCCTTGGGAGAGGGGCAATCTCAAGGTTGAATAGGACACAACGGTTAAGCCATCATAGCGATGGACAGCGACGCGAGGAAATCATACATGCAAACATCACCAACAAAAACCACACCATTGCCGTCCCAAAGGATGTTCACCTTTGCGGCAAGAAATCGTATACCACGCGAACATAGGCGGCGTATCTATTGTGGTCTCAAGGCGGGACCACCGACTCTCGTTTTGTTCCATCCCGCGTATATATATTAACGAAAAGGAGTTGAAGGGGGAAGATGTGGACCCCCCCCCAAAAAAAGCCCATTGCACAAATGCAAAATCACCCAGGGAAATATAATCCCTGCGAAGGTCGGAGGTTGCGGCCCCCAAAGCCAGAGTCAGCCCCAAATGTTAGGTGGGCAATGGAAGGAGAGCGTAGAAACAGGGTATTGTCTCGATGGGGCTTGCAAGCTCCTGGTTGCGGGTGAAGAAGGTGCCACGGATGCCCTCTGGGTTACAGACGGCCCCCGGATGTTTCGTACCACACCCCGACCCAGGAAGCCGGATTTAGGGAGGCCGAGTCGGCCTGGCGAACCGACCCCCTTTCCCCCGGCACGACCCGCTACAGAGGTCCTCATTGAAAAGAGGTCACGAATTCCCCTCAAATTTTAAAACATTTCATCTCCAGAATGAAGGCCCTCATTCATATTGGCAGGAAACGGGCTAGGGGGTGTGTGGGACAGAGAGAGAGAGAGAGAGAGAGGAGAGATTTTGCTATTAAAGGTTCCCTTCGGAGCTTTCTCACAGTGAGAGTGGGGACCAGAGGGGAGGGGAATTATCTTCCACTGATATGTGGGTATATAGGGAGAAAACGGGGGGTGGGTGAGTGGGGGTGGGTGGGTGACTTTCTCTTAAGCTGGGCACTGGGAAAATATTTTTATTCCGCGTTTCGCCAGGTTTCTGCACAACCGGAAAGGTTCGCTTTTGCATTCGCGAACGGATTTATTTCGTTTTGTTTGCTGCTCATTCAGCAAGGAGCTGAGTGGGCCCTGCAACAATAGCCATCTTTGCTGGCGCCGTCCAGCAAAGGAACAGGAAGGAGCATATCAAAGCCCCTGGATGCTTGAAATTTTGCACCCGCAAATAATTCGAGGCCATTCCGGGCAAAAACGGCCGAAGCTTTCTATTTAGAAAAATTACATATAAATCAAAAGGGGTTCAGCGGAACACGCGCCAGTAACTGGCTTATTTAACACACCTGGGGAGGTGGGGTGTGTGTGCCACAGCTTGTTTAAAAGCGCATAAAGAAATCGGGTGCCCCAGGATCTTTAAGTTTTTAATGGGGGGGGGGGGATACGAAGACCGCCAACATATCAAAGCTGCGCATGGGGAAAAGTTCAGATAAGAAGCAGTAAGAAGCAACTCGCGTTTTCTCATCGCTCTTTCTTTTTTAATTTAAGGGGGATTTCAAAACAAAAGGAGGAGGAGTGGTGGGTTTTTTTGGGGGGGTATCTTTTAAATAGAAATAAAAATTATCTGCAACATTTAAGGGGTTTTGGGGAGGAGGTGGAGGGGAGAATCCTCTCGGTCACGATGCGCCATCAGAATTTTGGACGTGGTCCAAACAGCCGGTTCTCAACTGCTTGAGACTTCAGAAAGCTGTTATGAGCTCTCGAGGCGAGAAGGGGAACCATCCATTTCTGGAACCGCACGCTTACGGTGGACAGAGAAAGAGGGTTCCCCCCCCAAAAAAAGAGCCGCACGGCCCCCTCCCTCCCAGCTGATTGCTCTAATTCATGTAAGATCTGGAAGGTGGGGGTGCCCTTCCACTTTGGGGGTACCAGAAATGGGTGCAGAACACTGAGATTGACCCAGAAACCAAACCCAAAAGGCGACCGGGATGTACCTGAAGTTCACGACCAAGGCTGTAGGTCGTGGACTCACTTGCCCAATAAATCCTTAGAAAGCAGGGAAGGATGGAGGGGGGAAGCTAACCTACTTCGCCATCACATAAGAGAAAACCTTACAATGCCACGATGAGCATCGCTAACCTTTCAGCGCTCCATAGAGAGAGTCGCCAAGCTTTCGAAGCAACTTAGAAGTATCCCCATGGAGTCTATGGCCGCAAGCCGGTTTGGAAATGAATGTTGCTTGCTTTATTTTTATTTTATTTTATTTTTTTGGGGGAAAACCCTTTATTTCCCTTCTAAGATTCTTCAAGGAGTAGTCGTTATGCAAGAGATGGTTTTGTCCAGTAGGTTAGATGTTGGGGGAAAACACAAGGAAACAAGTCAAGAACTGTCTCCTCTCCAGTGTGTGTGTGTGTGTGTGTGTGTGTGTGTAGGAGAGAGAGAGAGAACTGGTGTTTTAATTTGACAAGATGCAACCCTGTAAGTGACGCGTAATTGATTTTACAGTCTGCAGTTCTGCTGAAAACTGTTATCATTTTGTTCCTCTTGGCTGCCCAGAATTACAACTTCCAAGAATTGACTTCTGGAAGAATGATTTCCCTCCTCAACACACACACACACACACCCCGCCACCACTCTTCGGTGGCTCAGATTCCAAACGTAAAACAGCTGTTAAGAAAAAATATATTTCTCTAACCCCACTCAGTTGTTTTTATATCTGGCTTGGAAGGCGACACAGACCACAGCGAAACTTCTCGAACTTAAGCCTTGAAAAAAACGGGGAAATAGATAGATGAAAATATTCAAACAGCCCTGCTATATAGGTACACGCACTCAGAATGTCAGTCTCAAGACAAACTGATAAGTGCCCCCCCCCCAATTCTTCAAAATAAGGCAAAGTAAGTCCAAAAGTTTGACACAAAAAAACCCCCGGCATATCAGTTATCCTAAAGAGACCGACAATATCATCGTTCATAGAGAGATAGATCAGAAGGAAGCCCCATTGAGTTCAATAGGGGGAACTGGGGGGGGGATCACTTTCCACTTAGCAAAGAATTAATCGCAGAGGGTTGTATCCAACTAAGTTTTGCACCTTTGAAATTAATGGACCGCAGTTAGTTGCATCCGTTAAGTTAAATGGGTATGTTCTGAGGAGGAATTCACATTGGGTGCAAACCCAGAAGTTGTGCCTGAAGATGAGTTTGTCTCGACAACCTAGATGCAATTCAGTACACAGGAACGGCGTGGTGGGAGTTTAGAAAGAAGGGCATCTCACACAGAGATATAGCAACCCTCTAAGTTTTGCTTTCGAGACCTTCGTCTGATTTCTCTGGAATTATTTCCCACAGACACAGAGAGAGACACTTGTGGGGCAAACTTCCTCCAGGCCGTGTGTGAAAACCCTGGTTTCCCTGGCCATGACTTTGAACGACAGACAGACAGACAGGATAATAATTTTTTTAAAACCCCACACTTTTAAAAACCATTCCCCCTTCCAACAGTGACATCACTGGCAAGACTGGGCTTCCTCTTACATAATAATAATTTTCAGGCAAGTCCGTAAGAAAGGCTTATTTGAGAAGATAAGAGATTCCCCAAGTATCAGCCTGTGAGATTTATTTATTTTTTTCCTTCTAAAAAGAAGTTTCACCATTCCTCCCGAATCTTCCAATGCAAAAATATATGGACAAAATAATAATAAGAAGAAGAATGCATGGACTTTAACAGTGCCTTGTGTACATCATCCCTTTGGGGTTACAGCCGCCGCCACCCAAAACATGCACACCCAAAAACTGACAGGACAACAGCCCCCGAGGTCTAAAACATGCAATAAGACGGGGGGGGTCTCCTCCTGGCTCCCCCCTCCATCCTACCTGGGGTTGCTTTTGTTCCAGTACACCGCATAGCGATCGGAGATAATTTTGCTGCTGTCGTCCGTCCACACGCAAACACCAACCAGGGTCACCAGCAACGCAGCTACCTCCAAATTCGGCATCGTAACCCCTTTCTCCTCCACTTTCTTCCACCTCTTCTCCCCTTCTTTCTTTTGTTCCCCGGAAATCTGCGGGGAATTTTTGTGTGTGGGTGTGTTTAGGAAAAAGGCAACCAGGTCATTGCACTTTGAAGGCGCGCTTTCTGGCCGATAGGCTCTTTCGGTATGCGAGCGAGTGCGGTTTTTTCGGGGAGCTTAGGTCTCCCCTGGACAGTCCAGACTTTTTCCTGTGTCTCTCCTCCTCCTTTCACTTCTCTCTCTCTTGATGCAAACTATCGCACGCACATCCCTAATTCATTCCATGGTGGAGAATCCCAATAGCTTTCGCTGGCAGAATGGTCCTTCTTTTCTCCTATAGGCAAGCGTCCTGGTAGCCAAAATATACTGCAAATCAGCGCATGGATGGTGGTGGTGGTGGGGCGATCAGAATTTGCTTTTGCAACAGAAGGCTTCTTAATAGACAGACAAGAGATGTGTGTTATTTAGGAACAGAGAGGGTGTGGCGTGGGTCTTCCGGACCCCTTACGCCCTAAGAAGACATCACCGCAACTTTTGGGTCCCAGGGTCTGAGTTACTGCCAGCTTTCTCAAACTCTTCATAAATGGAGCAGGAAGGAGGGAGGTTCCATCTCTAAGAAACTGGATAACCTGGGCTCAAAAATACTGGAGGAAGCAGAAGGCGGCTGAGAGGTTACAGGAGGGAACCTCGGCATGTCGTACAACTGGCCCAGAATCTCCCCACTCTTGCTGGGGGTGGGGAAGAGAGAAGGCAAAAATTTCTGTGGACTCAGCAAGCAAACTTTGAGGTACCCGCTCGTCTCTGGAGAGCGGCTAATCCTAGCATATCATTTGAAAAAAAATAAAGAAAAAGGCCACCAACCGACAACTTTGCATTGAAACAAATTCCCGGTTTCCAAAAAGAAGTTTTTAAAAAATTGAAATGAAATAAAAACCTTGTCGAGGGCGTTCTTCCTGCAATTTGCAACCGGTTGGCTGAAAAGATGAGATGGATTTCTTGCAGAAAGGAAGAGAGAAAAAGGAATCACTCCCCCCAAAGAACGAGGACTCAGAACTTGCTCGCCGGGTTTGGGTTTTTCAAAGCAGAGAAAAGATGCCTTGTGATTCTTCTGCTTCTGTTTGTAATAGATGGGACCCCCGTGTTGTCTTTTCCTGAAGAAATGGAAAGAAGGAAGGAAGGAAGATGTAAATAATACAAAGTTTTGCAGTGAGGGGGACAGGGAGTGGTTCGTCCCCTTGCGAAAAGCACGAAGTGAAATCTGCTCGCTCTCTCTCTCTCTCTCATGAGAAAGGAAAGAATGAAAAGAAAAGAAGAAAAAGGGGGTAATCTTACTTTCCTTCCCCTTTTCACTCAACCACCCCCCTTTTTTATTGTGCCACCTAAGCTTTCCTTGCAACTGGTAAGAAGGGGGAAAGGGGGGGCATTAAGATTGCAAGTTGGGGGTGGGGAGGCCTTCAAACAACACCTCCCCCCTCCTCTCCCTCATCCCCCCCTCCAAAAATGCAAAAATAAATATAAATACTATACCAAATGCCTCCCCCTCCCAACGCACACACACAATTTGCAAGATTTCATTTTCATTTTCAACGCATGCATCTCATCATTTTATTTCCTGAATAAAACATGCTTGCCCCCACCTTGAGGTTTTGTTATTTTCCTGGTGGCACCAAAAACAAAAACAAAAAAATCCCTCTGTGTATAATTTTATTTTTTAAAAAGGTTCTTTTCCTTCCTCTGTGGATTCTTTTAAGCCTTACCGCTGCACGCTCTCACTCTCTCTCCCTTTCTCCTTTATTTTAATCCCCCCCTTTTTTTTGCCTTCAATGGCTTTTTTTTTCCTTTTGCAAAAAAAAAGGAGAGAGAGAGAGAGACCTGCCTTCCTTTCCGCGCCCCCCCCCTTACTCTTGATACAGAAACATTGTTACCACTTGGCCGGTCAGCCTAAAGTAACCACATCCCTCCCTCCCTCCCTCCTCTCTCTCTCTCTCTCTCTCTCTCTCTCTCTCTCTCCCCAGCAATGTCTCTCCCCCCCCCCCAGCACTCAACAGGGGCGGGGCCCCCAAGTCTCAAGGTTGGTTGGCCGGTGACGATCAGCCACACCCCCCACCAAAGCCATGTGGGTCTCCTTTTTCCTGGAGATTTTTTATTTTTTCTAAAGTCAATTTCAGCTCTGTTGAGGAGGGAGAGAGAGAGGAAGGAGAATGAGAGTGGGGGGAGCCCCAGAAGGAAAGAGCGTGGAAATGGAGGAGGAGGGGGGGGTCATTTAAAAAAAAAACATCTTTGCAAGAAGTCAACGCAGCAGCTGGAAAGAGATTTTTCTCTTTCAGGTGCAACCCAGGAATCCAAAGCTTTCTTTAAAGTGGGGGTCCCTCTCCCCCCCAAAAAAATAAGACTGGATGCTAATGGTTGGTGGAGAAAAGAGGGGGGGTTTCTTGTTTTATAAGGTGGGGGGTCTTCATTCCTTTGTCTTCAACCTGCTTGCAGATTATGATTATATTGGCCAGCTAGCTTTCCCTACTCAGAGTAGACCCACTGAAAATCTAGTGTTCTAGTTGAGGACTTCAGTGGCTGCAAGCCCACTGATGTTGTTGTTGCTGCTGTCGACGCTCGTTTACTTATTTGTTTATTATCGCCACTGGTTTATCAACTGCCTTCTAGGTTGGTTTGCACGCAAGATAATTTAAAAAATCAGCTAAGAACAACAAAGCCCGCAAATAAATCTGAAAAACGACGCCGAAACGGTAACGAGCAGACACTGAGCCAGTTTGCAATTTGCGGATTTGCAATTTATAAAATGGGTGGTCAACTGGGGCTCGTTTTCCGGTGGGTGTGCGACAGATTTGCACGGCAGACTCCACACTTACTTTTGCAGTGCAAATCCCTATTGCACGTCTACTCAGAAGTAAGCCCAGCTGCGTTTACTCCTTGGGAAGTGACTTTTCTCAAACCCACTTTCTGTTTTACATTTTGACCCCTCTTTGGTTAAAATTACCACAAAGCTTTGCACACACAAGAGGCAATGGCTTTAAGCTGGTTCTCCCCGGCTCCTGGGAATGTTAAGTAAAGATGTAACCCGCTATTCCTCTCCTAAGGGCGTTCTAAAATCCCTCGGAGCGTGGCTCTTCCTCTCAACAACCCTGTGAAGCAGCTCGCATCATTGTCCCCATAATGCAGATGGGAAGGTTGAGGACGGTAAAAGAAAATAGGTTGGCCGAAACTGGAAGGAGAGGATTCTTGTGGGTTTTCCAGCAAAATTCGACTCAAGAGTAGACCCACTGGGATGAAGGAATCTTGGTAAATCATGTTCTTTAACTCCAGTGAGTAGACCTAACATTGGATTAACCCGTAGCCTTTCAGCTCCTAGCTGCCCGCCCCTGCAAAGAAACCCTGCCCACCCACCTCCTAGTGTGTTAAATTAATGAATTAAAACAAATTTCCATGCAATGCTCTCCCCAAGGGTGTATCAACTCTCAGTCATTTGCACAACCTCCCGTAAAGGTAGGTCGGGTTTAAAAAATAAATCTTTGCCTCTGCACTTGTGATTCCCAGCAACTGATATTTGAAGGCCTAACACTGGAAGAGGGAAATAGACATTGTGGCTAGCAGCTTCCACAAAGTTTTCTTTCTTTCTTTCTTTCTTTCTTTCTTTCTTTCTTTCTTTCTTTCTTTCTTTCTCTTCTTTCTTTCTTTCTCATTTTTACAAAATTATATACTGCTTTTCCCAGTAGTGATGTATGGAAGTGAGAGCTGGACCATATAGAATGCTGATCGCCGAAGAATGGATGCTTTTGAATTCTGGTGCTGGAGGAGACTCTTGAGAGTCCCATGGACTGCAAGAAGATCCAACCTCTCCATTCTGAAGGAAATCAGCCCTGAGTGCTCACTGGAAGGACAGATCCTGAAGCTGAGGCTCCAAGACTTTGGCCACCTCAGGAGAAGAGAAGACTCCCTGGAAAAGACCCTGATGTTGGGAAAGATGGAGGGCGCAAGGAGAAGGGGATGACAGAGGACGAGATGGTGGGACAGTGTTCTCTAAGCTACCAGCATGAGTTTCACCAAACTGCGGGAGGCAGTGGAAGACAGGAGTCTTCCTGGTCCATGGGGTCACGAAGAGGCAGGCACGACTAAACGACTAAACAACAACAATATTCTGTTGAGAACCGCAAACCAATGGATTCCAAACAAGAAAGGAGATCCCGACTGAACATTTTGAAGAACTTTCTGTCGCTGAGAGCCACTCAACAGCGGAACGGAAGACCTCGAAAGGTCTCTCCTTCCTTGTAGAATCATAGAATCATAGAGTTGGAAGAGACCCCAAGGGCCATTGAGTCCAACCCCCTGCCAAGCAGGAAACACCATCAGAGCACTCCTGACATATGGTTGTCAAGCCTCTGCTTAAAGACCTCCAGAGCAGAGGTTCCTCCAGAGCAGAACCTCTGTAAGCAGAGGTTGGATGGCCAACTTATTAGGGATTCCGTAGCAATGATTCTGGACCTTCGGGGTACCTTCCAAGTCCATGATTCAGTACTCAGGTGAAGGAAACTGGTCTGGGCACATTCCAACTGGGATGCTGAACTCCCAGGGGCCTGGAAGGGCAAGAGCGGGTGTGCAGCTTTGAGCATCACCACAGGGCCATTGCTCATTGGGAGCCCCCCAAATATTTGATGATTCTTGACGCTCTGCCCTCGGCGAGGGAACATGCTGCCGCCTCGGAGGCCAGTGGTAGGAAGGTGGTGCTTGAGCGTTCACAAGGGGCGATTAATTATTGAGTAACCCGCATCCGAAGCATAAGAAAGAAGCTGTATAAATGCATATTATTACGGCGTAATTAGTGCCATACATTTTCCATCTCTCTCTCTCTCCCCAAGCCTCTTCCCCCCCCATCTCTCTCACATGCACAAATAGCTCAATGTGTACAGGAATCTGGGGTGGTTTTTTTTGGGGGGGGAGTCCAAGAATATTTGGATCTGCATAAATCTCCCTCTTCCCTGCTCCGATCCTATAAGCACTTTCCATCTCTGTCTGCGTATCTATATTTGTAATCTCTCAAGCCCCACCCCATTTCTCATTTCTCTCCCTCTCTCCGTCATCTTCATCTTCTCCTTGGCAGTTTATAGGCCCTTTTATGAAATTACGTGGCAGAGGCGGTTTTTGACGGGGACTGGGTTTAGGAAGCGGTCGGGCTGAGGTGTGCGAGGGAGGCATTGGCAGAGGCAAAGGGGCTCTTCAAATCCCCATTTCTGATGGTGTGGACTGGAAAGGAGGCCTTGGGTGAGCCAAAAAGGGCTCTCAAACTCTCCACCTCTAGCAGCATGAACAGGAAGAATTTTTCGCATAGCCAAAGGGCTCTCTAGATGCGGGTGGCTCTGTGGTCTAAACCACTGAGCTTCTTGGGCTTGCCGATCAGAAGGTCGGCGGTTCGAATTCCCGTAACGGGGTGATCTCCCGTTGCTCTGTCCCAGCTCCTGCCAACCTAGCAGTTCGAAAGCACGCCAGTGCAAGTAGATAAATAGGTATCACCGTGGCAGGAAGGTAAACGGCGTTTCCGTGCGCTCTGGTTTCCGTCACCGTGTCCTGTTGCGCCAGAAGCGGTTTAGTCCTGCTGGCCACATGACCTGGAAAGCTGTGTGCGGACAAACACCAGCTTCCTCGGCCTGGAAGCGAGATGTGCACCACAACCCCATAGTCGTCTTTGACTGGACTTAACCGTCCAGGGGTCCTTTACCTTTACCTTTACTTTGTTCTACATCTCCTGCAGTGCAACCAGGAAGACAGGCTTTTGCAGAGCTAAAGGGCTCTAATTCCCCCATCCTTCTATAATGTGAACAGGGAGCAGGGCTGCCAACTTGAAGAAAATATTGGGGGGGCAGGGAATCACATGAAATGGTGCACAAGTACCATTCGAATGGCAATGGCCATCAATTTTGGGGGGGTCCAAACCACTCAAATAGTTTGTTGGGGGGACGATGACCCCTAGGAGTTGGCTCCTAGGACAGGAAGAGGAGCTTTCGCAAAGCCAAAGCGTCCGTCATCTCCTGCAGGGTCAGCAAAATAAGCCTTTGACTGAGACAGAAGGCTCTGTAATTCCCCCCTGCAGCCAATCGGAAGCTGTGCTCTGGTTTCTGAACGTTTTGGAAGTCGAACGGACTTCTGGAACGGATTCCTTTCGACTTTCAAGGTACGACTTTAGTTCAGGTGATGGAGGCATTCTTTGGGGTCAGGCATGACCCCTTGCCTATACAGTGGTACCTCAGCTTACATACACTGCAGGTTACATACGCTTCAGGTTACAGACTCCGCTAACTCAGAAATAGTGCTTCAGGTTAAGAACTTTGCTTCAGGATGAGAACAGAAATCGTGTTCCAGCGGCGCGGCGGCAGCAGGAGGCCCCATTAGCTAAAGTGGTGCTTCAGGTTAAGAACAGTTTCAGGTTAAGAACGGACCTCCGGAATGAATTAAGTACTTAACCTGAGACACCACTGTATCTGCAATCCCTGTTCGCAGCAACTACGGAATCATAGACCCATAGAATCATCTAGTTGAACCATTTTCAATGCTTTGAAACCTCCAGCGAAGGAAAGTCCCAATGCTATCCTCATGTATTATTATTATTATTGCTATCATTTCCTTAAACTCCTGAAATAAACGACAAGCCAGTCTACAGCACAAAACACAAAACAGCAACAAAGTCCCTACCTGTAGGCTTACGATCTGCATAAGGAGACACGGGAAAGAAGGCGATAAGAGACAAAATGTGTGTGTTGGGGGGGAACAACCAGTCAGATCAGAGGAGCCTTGGGGAGACGGTTCAATCTCGAGACATTCCATAGAGAGGTGCCGCATGAAAATATCTGGAGGCAAGGAGTTCCAAAGATAAGGCTCCACAACAGAAAAAGGCATCAAGCGACGAGAAGAGTTTCACTGTTCCTATCTGCATTTTATTGGGGA